GGGGGGGGGGGGGGTGGAGTTAATTTCTGAAGATATTTTTTTAATTGCCTTTTAAGCAAACGTTTGACAAGCACCGTTCCGTATTTGCAGTACAATTGACAAGTCAATATCAAATTATTAAGGTAGTTTTATTAGTTTCTGAAAATAAAAATGATACAGTGATTAGGTTGAGTGACGGTTGGAAAGATGGGAATGATCCCGCCTTCAGCTTCGGTCCCTTCAGCCTTGAGTCTCTCAATGTTGGGAGCAACACCCTGCACAGGGAAAACAAAAAACAAAACAAAACAAAACAAACAAAAAAAACAAAAAAAAAAACAGAGGGAGCACAGTACTTAGTGTGGTCAAGTGAAAAAAGCGCGGCAAACTTGTCACTGACACATTGAAGTCGAGCTTTCAGATAGAGTTGCAAATCTTTTATAAAATTTAATTAGTTAGTTTAACTTCATTAATTAATAATTATTTAATTAACTGGCCTACCAGGCCACCTCCTCCTTTTCAATAATCCCCAGCCCTTTTAGAAGTTCTTTAGAGGGTCCTTTGTTTCCTCGTCTGTTGGTTCCGCCTTGGTCCAAAAAGCAGAAGCAAACAATTCAACAACCATGTGCAGTGTCTCTGTCTTCACGTTCCTCTGTCATATGGCGGGGCTTCAGAATTTATTATTATTATTATTATTATTATTATAATTATTATTATTTTTAATAATTTGGACCATTTCTCGGTTTATGTGTGTCATCCTTGCGCAGGGGCCATGCCAATCTTCTCTGTATCATTCCAATTTTAACGGATGTCCTGAAGGACGCTTCAGAATTTTGACAACTGCTCCTGGACCATGTGTCGGGCGGCCGTGCCCCCCGCCATACAACACAGCAAAGAAGCCTAAGGGCCAGTTAATTAATTAATTAAGTTAAACTCCATGGCTTTGTACTCTGGATCGGGCCCTTCATCTGATCTGACCTTGTACTCTCCATGGCCCTTAGCCATCACCTCCTGGCGTCGCTCAACCCATTGCCAGACTTTGTGCAGGCCTTGCAGGCATTTCTGCGTCACCTCAGCCTGGCTGGGCCTTCCGTGGCAACCCCGTGTGCCATAACAGCCCACTTGCACGCTATGGGAAAGAGGCGGAGTGAAGGAAGAGGTGTTAAACACAAGGAAGAGAGGAGCAGAAAAGGAAAACCAATAGGCAGAGGGAGAAAAAATAAAAAATGTTGACACAAACATCTTCTTCTTTTACCGAATTCTTCTTTCTTTCACAGTTTTGCAGTTTTGGTGAAGAGTCTACCACATTCGCTTTTCAGCGCACCTGCACTTCCTTCTTCATTTTTCATCCTCATTTTCACCCTTCGGACTTTTCTTTTGAGGGTGTTAGGGTGCAGGGTACAAACAAAGTAAAATGACACAAACTGATGTCCTCTTTTACTGCATTCTTCACAGTTTTGCAGTTTTAGTGAAGGGTTCCCCACCTTTGCACATTCTTGTACACTCTTTTCAGCGCACCTGTACAGTTTTGTCAGGGTGCAAGGTACGTCTAAGTAAGACCCTCACGACAAATAGGACATCCGTCATAAGGATGCGGACGATGGCAGCAGCCCTCCCACTGATCTACAGGACGAAAGCCATTCAGGTAAGCAACTTCGTCACAGCAGGAGCCAGGGCGGCTAGCACTAACCATACCTCTGAAGGATGCACGACAGAGGGCATGCCGGTTGCAGGCCATGACGATTGTGGGGCATTCACCATCACAGTTAAGTGCACATTCGCTATAGTGCCCGCAGGCACAGATGGGACATACTGCATCTGGATGTAGAGGATGATGTTCACAATCCGGATACAGGTGGCATCCCTGCTGATACGGTTGTAGTGATGTCGACAAAGTCGATGCTTTCCACAACCAAATGTAACTGTGTCAATGATCTCACAAAGAAGGAGGTCACAAGGTGTTAGTGCAGCATGTGGGGGAATAAAGACTAAAGCAGGCACGGTGACAGACATGGAGGCAGGCACGGAGACAGACACAGAAACGGGCATGGAGAAAGGTGTGGAGACAGGCACAGAGACAGGTGCAGAGCCGGGGACGGAAGTACACGCGATACCCATAGAGTCAGTAATCTGGAAAGAGAGACACAGAAACAGGCACAGACACAGGTACGGAGGCAGGCACAAAGATAGGCGTAGAGGCGAGCATGGAAGTACACGAGGTACCCATAGGGTCAATGACCTGGAACAGTTGCAGGTTAGGGTAATTACGCACGAGATTACAGATGGCAGTGATAGTTTGCACCATAGCACCGCCATCCCATAATTCCCAAGAACCAGAGGCACGGACAAGAGCGGTGTAGTGGCCAGGAGCATGTAGAATATAGGCACAAACGTGCAAACAGTGGTCCGGGTCGCCACCCGCAGGGGCACGCTGCATATCAAGCCGGCGCCTTATCAAAGCGGTCTCCAAAACAGAGACATTGAATCCCCCATGTCGAGTGTAATTACTATCCTGTGGGGGATGCAGAGTCGGGTTATCGCCATATAACTCACGTTCCTGAGCATCAAGTTCGAAAGCAATGGCCAAGAAATCAGAGTGAGTATATGGTTCCCGACGATAGGCTTGTAGGCATATGCTAGTAGCAGCGAGGCCACACAAATTCGGTGGAGGCCGGTCAGGCGGATTTTCTACTGAATCTCCTATAGTCCCCTTGCCAAGTTCATCCTCGGATGGTTCCTCACCATCATCCCTCCTGTTTTGTGTTTGCCGCATTGCAGAAAGGTCTGCAGTCGAAGAGCGTTGCAGGCATGGTAAGGATGCTCGGGGCGGCAAAAGACGGGGACGGGATGTTGGGGAGGGCCGTGGTGGGGAGAATGAACGGGTTCTTCTTCGTCCAAGAACAAAGATGGAGGAAAGGGGAGTAAGATGAGGTTGGGAAGTAGGTCGAAGTCGGCGTCTAGGACGACGAAGTAGGCTTTCTGCAGGGGCAGAACATGATGACGGAGTCTGCATGGACGAAGTGGTTTGTGGATTAGGAAGAGGGGTAACGGATGGAGACAAAACCAGGGGAGGTAGGAGTGTTGAAGACAGGGGTGGTAAAGTAGTCGGAATGTGGGTAACAGACGGTGATAAAACCAGGGGAAATAAAGGCGGTGATGACGGGGGGGATGAAGTCAGGGGTGGTGAAGTGGTTGAAGCAGAGACAGGGGGGGCAGTCGTAGGTGAGACCCGAAGAGGGGACTCTGCAGGTGGTAATGCAGGCATGGCCACGAATGCCATGGAGGAACGCACCGAGACCAAGCGACACAACAACTGCGGTGAACACGGATGCCATGGAGGAACACACCGAGACCAAGGGCGACACAACAACTGAGGTGGCCACGGATGCCATGGGGGAACACATCGAGACCAAGGGCGACATAGCAGCTGCCGGTCGAGTTGCTCCCGCAGAATTAATCGTAGAAGCAACCAAGGCCGATGAGGAAGAGGCTGCAAACCGAAAAGGGGCAGCCAGGGTCACAAACGACATGAAAGGGGTTACTAAGACTGATGAGGACGCAGGTGCGGCAGACGCGGGTAATGAAAAAGAGGTGGTGATAGGTGTGACAGGCGCCGATAATGAAGAAGGGGCTGCGACAGGCGTAGTCCGAGGACAATGTGTGGATACCTGAGAAAGCGGGTGATGAATAGACCATCAAAGCATGTTGCGGAACCAGCTGGAGAGGCAGGTCACGTGCGCAGCGTACCTGTGTTGACGTTTACGAATATAGGAAGTCCATCCTTTCGCAAGCGCCGTTGGAGAGTGCCAACGAAAAAGCATGCGGCGTGTGAGCATCGCTGCCGCAGTTTTGACATCATACCAGTTGTTGCAAACATACTCGAACCTAGTAAGCTGGCCTGTAAACACTCCCGCCGCCTAGTGTGCAGAGACATTAGACGTAGCACTAGGATAACGAATAACAGGGAAATTCCATTCAGCTGCTTTGTCAAAGACACTCGTACGCAGGGAACCGTCAGGGCAGACTTGGAGGCGTGCACCCAAGAATGCGCAAGAGCCATCAGGCGCTGTGGTCTCCTTCCATTCGAGGCCATAGAGCTCTGGCGGTGGTGGCAGATGTCCCCATGAGAGAACATCATCGATCAAGTGGTATGTGAGCACATACCGTTGAGCTGCGCAAAGATCACGCCGCTGGAGGTCATCAACAAATCGAGCCTCATCCCAATACAACGTCAAATTAGCTATCTCCGGACCAGAATTAGTCCCCATCGGGATGCCAATCAGCTGATGTCACAAGGTGCCGTCCGCTGCATAAAGATACGTGTTTGTGACAATGAAATGGAGATGTTCAAGAATTTGGGAAACGGTCAAGGTGTTTGGTCCGGTATCAACCGTCCACTCCCCTTGACGGGGCCCTTTAACAATCATGTTAAGGGTAGGAGGATGTGTGCGCCCCTGTGTGTGCTGTTGTAAGGCATATATATAGGCTTCCTCAACCGCTTTTGATACATTATGACAAATACGGTCATGAGGAAGATTGGTATACATAGTTATCAAATCAACAATGCGAGGAGCATGGTCACGAAGAGAAGAGGAATTACGTTTGAGATCAAGCATTACCTCCTCAGCGCTTTGCACGATCCAGCACCGTCTCACACCGCTTTGCTGATAGAACACATTATCCTTCTCACGGGGAGTTTCAATGACTTCTTGTAGTGCAACGTTGAGGCGGGCAGAAGCGACGGTAGTACTGACCAAGGGTTTGTGGGGAGGTCGATGGTGGACTGCATGAACAGATGGCGTAGTTGATCGAGATCGCTGCGACAGGGAGAGATTATTTCACTCTGTGACGCCGACAATACTGCGAAGCCCAGGGGGCGATTTGTGCGCTTTAAGTGCATAGTATAGATATAGCAGCGTGTCTTTGTGTGTCTATCCCCACCAATGATTCCAGAGCGCGTGATGTTCCTGAATATCTCCGATAGACTCAAGAGGCACATCATAGGTAGGGTTGTCCAAATGAGCAGATAGATGAGACAAGTACCAATTTTTACAACAGATTGCCAAGTTATGTGAGCTCTTGTCGACAGGAACAATAGCAAAGTGTTGTTGAAGGTGTCTCAAAGCCTTGTGCACTGAGTGGAGGGAGTGCGGTTGTCGTGTGGTAGTGTGGGGGGACGAGATGTTGCTTTGGCAACGTGTGAGAACGGTTGAGCACCACTGCTGCAATTTGTTCAGAGCGGACGGCCGAAGCTGCTCGGAGACCAACCTCAGGTATT